TGTAAATACACATTTATATCTAAATAATTGATGTAATTGATTTAATGGCACAATAATTTATTTGTCAAACTTCTTTTTGACCCTATAATTTATTTTAATACGCCAGTTAAATATTCATACATTTATTTCCAATAATGATAGGTTTGGTCCTCCATAGACTGAAGGGGCCTCAAGCCAAATCCAACACTCCCGTCTGGTCTCACACTGATAGAGAATGCACTTAACTTCTGCTGCTAATATTGATAGGCAACAGCCTTTGGCCAGAACTACTCTGTGTGTGAATGTTTAAACAAATCATTGCATTTGGCTTCAAGCTTCACGTAATGCCATCTACAACATTTACAAGCGGGCCCAGTCTAATCAAATGTGTGATTGTTTATCCAATAAGCCCTTGTTTTTACATCCATCATAACCTCATAATACCATGTCATATTCAATTACTAATTTTATGTTTCCCCCTTCTTTTCATGTAAAATTTAAATCCCTGACATTTCATATGATGTAAAAATCAGTGTTCTTTCTTTTGCTTTCATTAACCAATCTATTCATAAAATGCAGCAGTGTTGTTTTAAATACTTTCAAATTTAAACCTGGCTGTAAAACAAAAAAAAATCATTTTCATATTGTGTCTCACCAGAATAACAGCCTTTTCTTTGCTCTGTCATTGACCTGACTGACACAGGTCTATAAATGTACCGGACTTAAGGTGCAGGAAGTTAAAGGATGGTCCATGTTTTGGTTTTGATGACCACACTCAGAGGCTGCCCCCATTTTACCAAGTTTGTAACTTTCTGACCCTGGTTCTTGCTTAATTCAGGGCACACCAGTTGTTTGGTTTTTTGTATTTATTTAATTTTGTTTCTTTATTAACCTTTATTTAACCAGGCAAATCACATTGAGATCTCAGATGTTTTGAAAGGGAGGCCTGGGCCAGAAGTCAACCTGTTGTACATGTTTTTTGGTAATACACACTTACATGTTATTACCTCTGCCAAGGGCGAGGTAACGAGGTAATGTTTATGGTCGTGCATGTCGGTCTGTTGTTCTGTCTGTGGACAACATTACTCAAAAACTTGTGGACAGATTGTCATGACATTTTTACCACGTGGGTACTCGGCCAAGGAACACACCTTTAAATTTTGGTGATGTTCCGGATCACGATACGGATACAGGAATTTTTTTTCTTTCAACACTGAGATCGGCAAAGCTGTGATGCTTTCACAGGGCTTCTGTAAAAAACGGTGAGCTGGACTGGACAGCACGGACTTCAAACTTTATAAAAGTAATGTTAAAACCACATTTAATGATGAATAATTTTTGCCATAATATGCACATTTACAGAACGTTTTGTGACCAGGAAGTGCGTGACTGCACCATGAAACCTATTTTTCCCATTTCCTCAAACACACCACATTTCCGAAACAACCAATCTGGTCTGAATTGGTTATGACGTCACAGACACGTGATCATCCGAAACTATAACGTGTAATATCTAATAAATTATAGCAGCACAAACAGCCGTTTCAACGGCACAAACCTGCTCAAACAAAGCACTACAAAATCTGACTAGTTTGGTTCATTTTTGGTTTATTTTGGAGCGAGCAGGTGGGATAGTGACCCCTGAATGAACCTTACAAATAATGTTTAATATCTAAAAAACCATAGCAGCACAAATGACAATTTCAATTGCACAAACGCGCACAAACGATGCACTAACCACTCATCTAATTTGCATTTTATTTTTCTGTGGTTCATTTTTTGGGAGGGGTCAGCTTCACTCAGCTCTTTTGGCCGGGCCTCAAAGTTTGGAGACGGGGGGAGCCAGGAAGCACTTTATAAAGAGAGTCAAACCATTACAAACTCATACAAGGAGATAAAACAGACGTTTTACATGGTGAAATGTGACTGATGACAACTTAGGAGCTTAATCCCACACCAGTTTGACCAGGAATAACGTCAGGTGACCAGTCTGACTTTTGTTTTTCACATTGGACTCCACTGAGAAGAAATCCTGTGCATACTGCCTGCTTAAATGTTCGCTACGTCAGAACTTATGGCAAATGTGTTTCCATCTCTGCTTTTACGCATTAACTCTTACAGGATGGGGAAATAGGTCTTGGCGGAGGTTTGCACTCTCCGAGTGCTTCTAGTTTTTAAAATGTAAAAGGCAACATCTTATAAATACAACTGTAGTAGCTAAAATTTATGTTTTATTGTCGTTTCGTCAGAAAATAGTTGCTTGAAATTGCCACACCGTATAAAGCAGCATTTGTTGAAAGATGTGTTGGGGAAGTGTAGAGTTTCTGCTCCATTCCGAACAAAAAACTTTTAAGAGTAACACAAAAGAAGTAAAGAAGAACCAGAATAGTAAATATTTAGGTTTGACACCCAAGTCAGTCATTATCTACTCCCTCCTGTAAAATTACATATAGTGAGCTTTAAAACTCTACACTTGGCTCATATTAACATGTGCACAAACCCACATACACACTCTGACTGGGTTCCTGTGACTCATATCTCGTGCTCTCGTGGCTGTAATTGGCTGCAAGGAGCAGACAGACTTTGTTATCAGACTGAAGCCAAAATGGAGAGGAGAGCAGTCAGACTAGGAGAAACACAGCAGACCTTCAAGGCTGAGAGTTCACGTTTACACACAAATAAAAGCCCACACCAAAAACTGCAAGTGGGCACACAGCTGTTGCACAACACACCTCAGACACATCTAAGAGACTGTCTACATCCATGATCTAATTTTACCCACATTCAGACAGCCGTAGTGAAACAAATGGAAAAGAAAAAGGTTGTTGCAAGTGGTAAAGGTCAAAAACTGGAGTGCATTCTTGTTTGTATGATAATGATTCTGTTGAATGATCTGCTGCTTGCTTATGTTCAAAACTGACACCTTAGTAGATCAGTTCTATTGTTATTAATAATCGTATTTAAACTTTGTATTAGTGCCACAGGGAGAAAACACATTGACATGAATTGTAAACATGTATACTGTTGGTCTCATTCCAGCTCTCTTAGTCATCTTCTTTAATATATACCCTGGAGTATTTTGTGATAAGTGAACAGATCCTAGCACTGTAGAAACATCATGTAATATAAATGTGCCTGTTTTTTTTTTTTTCTAGAAGTGAAACCTTGTTGAGGTGTTCCCAATGCAAGCTGGCTCGCTACTGCAACACAACCTGCCAGGTATGTTTCTGTAGGCATTTGTTATAAAAGCCAAACAAAAACTGAATGCCTTTGGAAATATGACTCTGTTCAATGTGCATCTGTCTGTGAGTATCACTAAAGGTCCCTCTCCTGCAGAAACAAGCCTGGTCAGAGCATAAGGAGGAGTGTAAGTGTCTGCGTCGCCTCCTGCCCAGACTTCCTACTGACTCCGTCCGTCTGGCTGCCAGAGTCATTTTTGCTCTGGTAGGTTTCTGGAGTTTCTCATCGTTAATCTCACTCAAAATATATGCGCACAAAGAAAACTAGGATGAGAATTACTAATCGTTTGTCAGAACAGGGTGGTCTTTAGGTCTCTGCTGTTTCTGCAGATTATCCAGTGCAACAGGAGCAATAAATAATGTGTGAAACTGAAAGACATGTTTTCTCATTTTCCTGTTTTGTCAGTTAAATCCCAAGAGCAGAACTGATGAGCTCTATACGTTAGATGAGCACAAATCACGTAAGTTTCTCTTACTTTTCCACAGTTTGTTACTGTAGTGACAAATATTAACATTTTTTTGCTGATGATTTTTGTTTGTAAATCATCAAATCATTTCTTTAAAGGCTCCAGATTAAACCAAAGAGCTTTTTTTGTGTTTGTTTTCCACGTTCCACCTACATTGCATTTTATTTTAGTTTAGGCACTGTGTTTTGATGCAATATTAATTGTACTTTTACAGACCTGGATTCCATGTCTGAGCAGAAGAAGGAAGGTCTGTCTCAACTGGCAGCCATGTTGGAGCTGTACACACAACAGGAACTTTCTAACCTTACACAGGAAATGACATCAGCCCTGCCTCCCTCCTGCCACGATGCCCTCAGCCTTATTGCAAAGGTCAGTTCAATTATTGTAAGCCCAACTTTGGTTTTGCATATAAAAATTAGTTTTGGTGAATAGAAAAATAAAAAATAATTGGCTAAATGGTTTTTACCAATGTGAGGCAGTGCAACTAACATGGACTTCTTTTTTTATTAAGAAGTTCTGAATGTTATTCTTGTTATTTTGTTGGAGCATCTGTCATCTGTTAACAGATTTCTGTTTGTCTTTTCAAATCTGTTTATGGCTTTTAAATTATTTCTCTTTTCTGCACACACAGTCCTGTCTCTTTCTCCTACTATTTTTTTCCTATCTGCTTGCTCTTTACATTGTAAATGAGGAGTTTACTGTTGTGTTCAGTGAGCTTAGCAAAATGGGTCATTACTGTACGCTGTGTCTGTCTGTGTCTCTGCTGGGATAACCCTTATGGGCAACCGTATTGTGCTGTATAATTTTTCTTTTATACAAATTTTCCATCTCTAGTACAAATAATGTTACATAACCATTTAATGTATGCTCTCTGACACAGCAAATAAAGCTGTATCATGTTACCCTTACTGTTCTTAATATACCCAAGGGTAACAATGGGCAATAAAGTGGAGAGTGTTCATGTCTGCTGTATAAGCAGAGTAGTGAATAAAAGTTTTAGTTGTCTAAAAGGCTTAGATGCACATCTATCAGAGAACATATTTATAGAGCAGCTGCTTTGTCTCACTTTTATTGTTGCAGCAGAGCAGTGATTCCAAACGGATGGCCATAAAAATCAGTCTTCAGCAGCAGTTGATGGGCATCAGTAGCTGCGTTTCCATTGACCATGAAAATGTGCAAATTAGAATTTCGAAAATAAATTTGCTCAATGGAAACACGCCAACTTTGAAAAAAAGAAAAATGTTTTTCGACAAAATGTTTTTGCACTAGGATGAGGTGGTATTTCGGCCGTATCGAAATTGATGTTTTTCGCAAAAGTGCAATGGAAACACTTTTCGCATCACGGGAGTCACGTGATCAACAACCGGCTGTTTCTACTGGCGAAAAAGACGATGACGAAGAAGATAACAGGCAGTAGAAGTAGTAGTAACACCATAGAAGTAGTGTAAAATAGTAAAGTCACCGACTACAATTTCCCAAAAACACAGCATACGTAGCCGCTCCCAAGTAGGGACTTGTCGCTGGAAAGCCTCGATAAAAGACGCCGACGTCTCCTCTGATGATGAGCGCTAGTGTCGTGGTAGCAACATGCTATGTGTTTACATCCATCGCCGCCATGTTTGTAAGGATTTATCGCTTGAACAAACGTATTCACGCGTGACTTTAATAGCATTTCTTACTTAATGGAAACACCGCAGTTGTGAAACTGTTTTTTCGACATTAACAGAATATCGACAAAGTTTTGGGCACATTTGCAATGGAAACACAGCTACTGAGATGTCAGAAGACTGCTGTGACACGGGTCTCTGCCCCAACTGCAGTGTTGTAATATACTGTGACTGATTAGATCCGTTTGTTGCACTTAATAATGCTAATTATTCTCTGGAGTGAGAACATGGATAGGCAAACATGCCTGTGTGTGTATTGGGGTGTGATGATTCATGTGTTCCTATCAAGTCGTCATGATGAAGAATACAGGGATCATAGGTCATCAACGACCTCATCTGGAAGAGGGCAAACATTTATTAAATGCTTGATGTTGCAACACAAGTGCCGCAAACACTTTCACATAATATGTGCATGATTGGTGCAACCACATTTATGTGTCTGACACTAAATCATAGTTTGTTTTTCTCTAATTCCTCTGTGTCATATTTTAGCTAGCTGGTAAGACAACATGTTAAGGAAGATTGCACGCTTTTTAGTTTCTCAACTGTATTTATTTTATTTATCTCTGAGCGTCCTTTTGCAGGTGTTTGTGTGAACTTATCGTCATGCAGCTTCTACAGCCCTAAGACCTATTTTTATATGTACCTCTCACATGAACAGCATACTGCTTTAATAAAACATGTGAGCCCATAAAACAAAAAAAACTCTCACATGACCCAATATCTCTTCAACAACTAAAACCAGATCCTTGCAAACCTGAATATAAGAATGTGGAAATAGAAGATGGATGAATTTCATTTCCTTTATAACACCTTATGTGAGAAGAAAAAAAGAAAACATTGCAAGATGTGGTCACATAAGTGCATAGAGTTGATCCAAACAGCAAAATTAAAAATGGCAAATCTGATTCAAAGACATATGGGCTGAAGCAAAAACAGCGAGAAGACTGAAAATATAAAAAAATTAGAACAAGTTGAAGGAGTCTAAAATAAGGACTCACCTAATAAAAGGTTTGAGCTGCATTTGTGGTTCTCTGTGGAAGAGATCGTAACTGGGACACTTGGGAAACATAAACACATAAATACACACAACACACACACTCATCTGTCCATGGTGGAACAAAAGTAACCCTTTGTGGAAAACTGTGTTGTATTGTTTATTACCAATAAATAGAGACAATTTATCACACACACAGAGAGAGAGACACACACAGGTTTGTTTTTGTATGCCCATGAGGACCATAGATGGACTTCCATTAATTTTCTGGTAATTTTATATCCTAACCCTGACAATTTACCCTAAAATTAACCTCACAGGTACCTACCTGACCCTAAATCTAACCTAAACTCAATTCACACCTTGCTTCTAAATCTACCCCTCTACCCCCCCACCCCCACCCCCCTGCCAGAAATTGGCATCTGTACCCGTGGGGACCGGGCATTGGTCCCAACGAGGCTGCCTTTTCCTGGAAAATGGTTCCCACAATG